CAGTCTTAGAAAGCAGAAAGGAGTTTAAAGCAGTACTTCTCAAGTTATCTGTGATGAAGAACACATAATATTTTCTGTCTGCTAAGAATTGTGATGCAAGTGTGCACAACTAATCTGCATTTCATACCACCTGAAATTACCACAAAAACTGGATAATACCTAAACTGGCTTTTACCTTATACAGCAAAACAAGTCTATTAGTCACCTACTTGGGTCTCCTAACAATGTCTAATTGTTATAAAAGCTTTAACTTATAACTTTCAATTTCAGAATTTAACTTGTTGTGAATCTGTAATAAACCACTTATGACTGAGGATAAGGCTCACTTTAAGTAGTATTAATTTGGAGAGCAACATAAATATCCAATATTTCCCAAATTGTGCCTTATGGCACACTGATCATACAATACTGACACAGGTTAAGAAAATTATGTTCCAGGGCCTCCCCCGGTGGTGCAGCGGTTGAGCGCTGGGCTGCGAGGCTGTCCGCAGCCTCTGCAGCACCGGTTTGTTCCCCCGCCACCGGCGAGGGTCCCACCAAAAAAAAAAAAAAAAATTCTGTTTCAATTCACAAACCATATAAACATGTAAAAGACTGAGAATTCTAGTAAATAAAACTGTTCATTTAATCCAAACTTACTTTACTATAAAATCTTTTCTTTTAAGGTTAACACTTACTAACATTACAAAAATTAATTTTCTATAAGCTGTATCTAGAGATTCTAGATAGAATCGCTCATTTACATCATTCAACAATTGCTTAAAACATCCAGGGTCAGGGAACTTATTTCTTTACAATGCAATTTAATATAATTTAAAAAAACTTAATGCAAGGAATACTTTTTGTGTGAGTTCATATTTTATGGTTTCCAAGATTCTTGGTTTTCAAGCATACTTGATAATGGTTCTCAATGTTTTGTGAATCAACAATAGAACATGCACTCCTCTTTCTTCTGTAGCTACCCTACAAATATCTTTATTCTCTTTTAATTCCTTTCATGAAAATGCATTGGTAAAACCTTTATCATAAATGACTACATTATTCTGATCATGTGTTATACTGAAAACACATCTCCAGGACTGAATTCAGTGTTTTGATCGCTAGTAAAGAATGGAGATAATCACTTTGCTCAAATATTTTTTCAGTAATAAGTGTATTCTAACAGAACAGGAGCTTACTATGACTCCCATAAAACTTAAATTTTGAAAAAAAGCAAATTTCAAAATTATTACCAAAACAATAAATTAAATGAGTTGACTTCTACAAAGTACACTAACAGTTTACATGGTGACAATACTCTTCTGCATCCTTTGAAATGTTTCCACCATCACAATCTTTATAAACATCATCAATATCATTAGTATCAAGAACAAAAATAGATAATCTTTCGTACCTGCTATGGACAACTAAGGAACAATGAGAAAACCATTATGCGCTTTTTTCAACATTCAATATAATGTTATATACTTTCATATCATTCCATATGTTAGCAGGAAATTAACAGGAGATTCTTTAGTTATTTCAATACACTTTGAAATTATTCACCCATGTTCAACTGGATTTTTGATTTTACTGCTTTCTTATTCTTTTTTTTTTTTTAAGTAAGACTCAATAACTTTATACTTAATTATTGGTCTTACAGAACAAAATGGGAACAAACACATTATACCTGGTCAGTGTTTACTTAGAGATAACTTTTTTATATTTGTTGTCAATTATCTCCAAGTAAAACCACACATCTCAGTACATTTTAATATGACAATAATTAGCATCTGATAACAACCTATAATTTAATCTGATTTTCCCATCATTTTGATATTTAAATTTTAAGTCATAAACAACTTGTGGCCAATTCACTTAACAAAAATAAGGCCAAAAGCAAATGTATATACCCCATTTCACTGACAACCAGGAGCAAATCTCTTTGGGGGAATTAATTTTACAAATGTTGATGAAAAAGAAGTATTTCCATAAGAATGTGATTAAGTTTAAAAAAAAGGGAATGGAAAGATTCTGGAATATTTCACTTCTCTGTGTATCTGAGATATTCTGAAATTAACAGATAAAAACAGACTGTTGCTGTTTCAGGCCTCACAAGCTGTGTGCTAATTAGGAAGCTTTGATTATTTAAGGGATCCAACTTCCTGATTATGCTTCAACTGATGTGCCAAATCAGTTAAAAGTTATTCCCTCAGGAAACAAAAAAACAACAACAAATAACTAGATCTGGAGGGGTGCTTCAATGTTATAATACAGAAAACCAAAGATTCCTCCACATTTATGTACACTAGATGCAATATACTTGACATATTTTTAGTAACATTTAGAAATATACTTCACTTTGAGGAAAGAGTTAAAAACATAACACACTGATATAAACTGCTGTGAAGAACAAAATTTGCAATATGGCATATGGCACACTAATGCTAATTTAACTGTTTCTAAGAAAGCAGTATTTTATAAAAACTGAATTAAATCTAGGGGAATGACAAAAACATGTATTTATGTTTGAGGTAGCATCAAAAATGCTATGAACATTTTTTCTCAAAAACATAAAAAAGTCCAAACTTAGAAAAGTTTGCAGACTTTATCTTTTAAAGGAAATGACAGTAGTGTAATTGTCAGGGTGATTTTCATACTCTCATATATTTGTTTTGTAACCATAATCACTACTAGTTATCACATATTCTAATTAGCAAGATCTTTTATCAATTATTTCAGTTTATTGTCATAATGATCCTGCAATGTCAGTGTGGACAGGATGTATTGCAAAGGAGAAGTACTATTTTTTCTGTGCATTTAAACAGTGAAGGCTGGTATTAAAACCTATGGTGGGAAAAGTGTTTTCTTAAACACACATATTTTATATCATTTTGAAATCTGAGATGGGTGGAAAACTCCTTTTAGATACTTGAATGTACTTAAGGTTGTGAATGTAGAATAAGGAGAGAGAGAAAGTAAAGGTTCCAATCCCACCTACACATACAAAAAAAAAAAAAATAATTTGAATCTGTCCATCAGTCTCCAGCCCACAACTATGAAACCCCTAGGTCAGTTCACACTTTAGCCTTTGTTGTTGCAGTATCCTCCCAACTAGTTCCAATATGTCCAGTTCTCCATTCTGACCCACACACAGCCAGAGAGATCTGCCTAAAATGCATGCCCCAAACCTTCCTTGTGGAAACTCAATGGCTCCCTTTCTCCTGTAAATAAAAGATAAACTAAACTTATAAGGTCCTCTTCAGCCCGATGAGGATCAGGACATGCTACACTAAAATCTGACTCACTCACTGGCATACTGAATATTTTAAGTTTAAGGTATTCGACAAAAAAGGCAGAAGCAGGAAGGTCAAGTCCCTGGTCCTTCCTGCCCCCCCCCCAATAGGTCATAAAACCACCAGGTGAGAGGAGACACCTGCTGCTCTACTCCCAGAGGAAAGGACATCCTGACCACCAAAAATAAAGGAAAACCAAGATATTTTCAAATCAACAGGGCCTGCCAAGTTCCCTCATACTCCTTAATCTTTCAGATTTCTACATGACTGTCCACTCTTCATCAAGTCCAGTATAAAAATACTCAGATCTAATTGTCCCTTCCAGTCTTCATTATGAAGTTCCTGTGTCATGAGGAACGTCAATTAAATCAATGTGCATGTTTTTCTCCTGTTAATCCATTTTTGTCATTTAATTTTCAGATTCAGTCAGAGATCCTAGGAGGATCAGGGAAAACTATTTCCTCCCCTACAAGCTTCATTTTCAACTTAACATGACCTCCATGAAGCCATTCCCAAAAAGGAATGAGTTAATCAAGCATCTTCTTGCTCATGTCTAGGCTTTTGCACATGTGCTCTCTTAGAACACTCTTTCCTTGGCTACCTCTTCTGTGTCATTCTGGAGTCAACTTAAACATACCCTCTGCAGACTCTTCCTCATTGCTTCTACACTAAGTTAGATTTGCTTGCACTGTCTTTCCGTTCTGGAATTCATCCCATTTTATTATAAGCTTTTGTTTGAATTGATCATTTCCCTTATGGAGTTGACTACGTGAGGAAGGGACTGCGTTTGTCATGCACTGTGTTTCTCTCCAGCGCTCAGCACATGTCTGCTGGTAGGAGATTAAGGAATTCTTGTTGAATGAAAATATCAATATCAATTAATCTTTCAAAATATACAATGTTTTAAAGTACCTTTAAACTGACAAGTACTATAGATGATAAAGCATACAATAATTTTCTTATTGCATCACTTTCACATATTTATTAATGCAGCCAGAGAAAAGATTAAAGATCTATGTTTAAAAATATACCTTCTAGAGAAAAAAATTTACTTCTAGAGAAAGTAAATTTACAATATTTTAGATGGAGACAATATTATAAAATTTATTCAAAAACAGTAACTACCTGGAAGAACTGTTGTTAAAAAAATGATACTAAGCTAGTTCCTGAATTAAAGCAATATTGGTACTCTATTGTAAACAGAATTGCCTGTTCCTTTGTTGATTTTCTTTTAACAGCGAAGGAATACAAAGTGGGGATGGCAGGAATACGGGGTGCAAACCCTGAACTGATTTTCTGCTCACTCAAACCTCTGTTCCTTTGCTCATTTTGCAAACATTGTAAGGGCGAGGAAAAAGAATTGAGATGACAGAATCATTGGGAAGCACTATCAAGTGCTTCTGAAGAGTTCAAATCTTGAGGGGAAAACAAAACAAAATTATAGCATAATTCTTTCTCACATTTAGTACAGCCCAAATTAGGCACTAAGGGCATGCTGTGTAAGAAGGAAAACTCATCCTTCCTCCACATAAGCACATTTGCTTTAGTGGGTAGGTTTTGCATTACCCTAGTAATTGGCAACTCCATTGGCACTGAGCCACCAAAAAGGCTTTTGAATGTGATACTTGGTTCCTTAATAGACTCTTTCAATAATACTGGACAGATAGAAAGTAAAAGAGAAGGCAACATATAAAAAATGAAGCAATATCAGAAATGGTGAATTACCTGTTCATAATAGTGGATATTCTCCTCAGCTGTATCTGTAAATGCTGACTTGATATCATTTTGCATATTTTGTTTCCATCTTTCCCAATCTGCTTTCAGGGCATTATTTGCACATGCCACTTTATCTTCAAGTTTTTCAATTTCTTCTGTAAACTGAGTTAGATCACAAAGACAGATAAATCTATGTATTTTTGTTGAGATCAAAACATTTACACTGAACATTATATCAAAACTACTTAAAAATAATCCTTTTTCCGGAAAAGTCACCAGTATTTACCATGTGTATGAACTAGTTAAAAACACTGGATTCACTCAGAGATGTTTAAGAGAGTTCCAAGGTCTGCTACTAATTAACACTTGACCTTGGCTAATTTTCTAAAGCCTTGGGCTTCAGTTTCACTCTTTAAAAAATAAAGAAAATTAAACTACAAATAACATCAGAACTCTTTTACATCAACACACTACTGAAACAATTGTTTGTGGTGATAATATTTACATTAGAAATATGGTTTTGTTTGCTTCACCTCCCACTCTGGGTTTTCATTTTTCAATTGTTCTAACAGAAGGTTTGATTAACTGACATGTTATAACATCCATACGAATTGACTAGCCCCACCTGCAGGTACAGGGAATTAACTTGTCAAATTTAGTCAAATATCTTGTACTAGAGTCTGGTTTATATCACCAAACACTTCACACCCATTCCACGCCCTAGTGGGGAGTCTACATGAGATACTTTCACCTGCTCTCCCACCAATTTATTATTTTACCTTTGGTGCAGTTACATAAATATTTATAGTTACATAGTTTATATACACATATCCACTCATATATTCAGTATATATTTATTAAATTCCTTCTCTGAACCAGGCATTCTCCTAGGAGTTGGAGATTCAGTAGTGAAGGCCATAGATAAAAATGCCTGCTTTTCTAGAGTTTATACTCTATTGGGAAGAGACAAACCATAAACAAAATAAATAAAATATGAACTATTAGTTGATAGAAAATGATAAAAAGAACATTGAAACAAAAAATAGACCACAAATGCTAAGATAATGAAATTTTAGATAAGATGACCATCAGAGAATGTCTAAATAAGAGTCATTCGAATAAATATGTTAAGTCATCATGAGAGTGAACCCGGAATTCTCAGTAGGGAAGCATCCCTGGCAAGAAAAATGGCCTGGAGGTTGAAAGATACTTGGTGGTCCAAGAAGAACAACAGGTGAGCATGACTATAGCAAGTAGCAGAGTTGGAAAAAAAAAAAAGGAAGGAAGTTCCCAGAAGATGAGGTCAATGAGTTAATGAGTGACCTGATCTTACTGAGTCATGTAGTCCATGCTACAGTTCTTGGATTTTTCTGAATAAGATCCAAAGCCACTGAGATTCAAGGGGAAATTACAACACCTCTTTCAAGTTTTAAAAGGGCATTAGACATTATATATTACCACTGTTGTGTGACTGAATGTATTTGAAAGAAGAGACCTGATTTCAGAGATGTTAAAATGTAAAATTGTATGCCTTAGTATCAAAGTTATTTTTGTATACAGTGGTTGTTTCAATTATTACTTTTTATTATTATTTTTTTTTGCTATGGAATTTCACCTCTCTATTCTTATTTTCTTGTAGTCAGTCATCTTTGCTATTCCGCATCTAGGACTCATTTGGTATTACATAAATTTTTTATTACCTATGGGAGATCTAATCCAGTAGTTAGTAGACTTTCATTTTTTGTGTATTTATAGTTTTTACATTCTTGTTTTGTTTTTAAACTATCTCTGTGAGGTCATTTATTAGTTTATGAGTATGTGCACTCCTTGGGGTAATTTGTTTGTTCAATCTTAGAGAATTTGTCTCATAGGATATTACTTGAACAAACAATAATGGTAGCTTGTGAATGCTGGGAATAAGCCAAGAGTAAACTTGATGAAAGGCCAAACTCAAACAAGATCTGGGTTTGCTGGAAGAAGCCCAGGGGCTAGTTAGAGAACTTAGCTCCTCTGGGTTGTTAAAGGAAACCTTGCCAATTTCACAGCCAGATGGAGAGTATAAGCAAAATGTGTCTCTTGCTCTACTATCAAAAGTTACCTGTACCAACTGCAAAAGCACTCTTACTATCCTCTAGTTAAGTCTGCAGTCAAACATTGCTATGCACAGGTGTGGGATTACTGGCAGAGTTCCCGAGTGAAACTGACTTAACAAACACAATATCTAAGTCATATATTCTCTCTTTTCCCCCTTTGGAGAGAGAGCTTAGAACGGTGTCACTATCATAAGGAACTTACAATAAAGAGTTTTTCTTTTGTCAGTGTGTTACTTCCCCTCAGACAAGTCCTTGAAGTGGTGTTAGGGATGGTTGGTGCTTCTGCTCTGGTCAAGAGCTACTGAATACTAGGGAAGAATCCTGACCTCACACTCACCAACAGAAAAAAGGTCTTTCACTTTATCAGCAAAGCATCAGAGTTAAGAAAATTGACAATGGGTTAGGGTTAGACCAACCTCAGTTTAAGTCTCATTTCTGTCTGTAACAAGTGATATGACATTGGGTAAAACTATCCATTGAAGGCCTGGTCTCTATATCCTTAAAATGAATATAAAAATAATACCTATCTCATTCTATCTCATTGGGATTTTTTTTAAAGATTTATTTATTTATGCATACAAGAAATGGGACACAGGCCAAAGGTATGGGGGGGTTAAGAGGATTCACCAGAGATGGAGTGGAGAACAGAACAGGTGGATCGAGTGGAATACACTGCTGAGGGGAGCAGCGGGAGAGACAGGAGAGGTCTGCTGTGCTATGTGGGTGATTTCCCTGGCTGGGGATGGAACTCGTGCTGCAGTGGCTGCGGACAGCTTCATAGTGCTGCACCTTAACCTCCTGTGCCACAAGGGAGGCCCCTCATTGAGATTTTTAAAGAAAATTGCATGAGAAAAAGGATCTTAGTTGATCTGCACATTGACAATTTGCCCGATGCCAGTGCCCTCACCACCACTAGTAGCATTATCACCATCATCAGAGTTGGCGAAACTGAGGCTGATTCCATTTCTACATCTAGTATTTTAGCTTCTGGAAATATCCCGTTGTTATTTCAGGATCTAGGTCTTAAATCAATTTCTTAATTTGCTCTTACCAATGTAGAAAATGACATATATTCTTTAAATCTATATAATCAATTCTTGTGATTTTTGGTTGCTATATGTATTTTTTCTTTGATGAGCTCATCATGATTTTTTTCTTGAAAAAGGATAAAAAAGACATTGTTAAAGGGAGGGACTATTTTTCCTACCCCCATTTACATGAAGCTGCCTTGGACTATACATTCCAGTAAGCCATGAACCAGACTTCCTGAAGGGGGAGCTACTGGAACTAGGGGTGGAGCTAAGCAGCCATGCCTGGTATCTAATGAACATATGCCAGCTCAGGACTTCTTGTTTCTGTGGCCCTAACGTGTACCCTGGTACTGCTTGTAGCAGGATAGATTGCATGACCATGTGTTAGTCAATTAACTCTCTCCCTCTCTCTCATTCTGTTCTCCCTCTTCTAGCTGCCATTGTTAACAGTACTTTTTTTTCCTTCATTTATCTTTTCATGTCCACTTTTGAGTTCTGTCCTCTGTCCTGAATTCTTTTTTTTTTTTTAAAGATTTATTTATATAAGCACTGGGTACCGCCAGAACCGCGGGAGGGTAAGAGAATTCACGAGAGCCAGAGCAGGGAACATAACAGGCAAACTGACGAAGTACACTGCTGAGGGGAGCAGTGGGCACGGCAGGAGAGGTCTGTGCGCCATGTGGGACCCTCGCCAGCGGCCAGGGATCGAACTGGCACTGCAGAGGCTGCGGGCAGCTTTGCAGCCCAATGCTCAACCGCTGTGACACCAGGGGAGGCCCCCGTCCTGAATTCTTAAGTGAACAGTGAGGACTCACACCCAGGTCACCCCATTTCTCCAGGGGCTTCCCTGAAACAACATTATGTATTTCCCATACTGAATCATTTTCTTATAATTTTAATTCTAAGAAGATTTAACTGACATTAAGTGCAAAACATTTAATTCAAATTAAGAATGCTCTGCATTCTATCTTCCCTGACAATTTATGAAAGCATAATTTTTGAAGTTCCCTTAGTTGACATCAATTTTAGCAAGTTCTTTGATACAAGGGATTATGCATTCAAATGATGTCACCAGGCGCTGAACATAGATAGTGAATTAAAGTTAACTAAAATGCCAGAGTAAGCTGTGTTTGAAACCTGGTGGTCCAAAGAAGCCCCTTAAGTACTTTGGTGCCCTCGAACCATAGGTTTCAATAAACCTAAAAGTAGGAATTCAGTTCACATACTCTACTGTAAAGTGGCATGAAAAAAGAAGAGTTGAAAAAGATAAAAGTTTGAATAATTCTTTTTACAAATACTTGAAGTGATCCGGCGGCCCTCTATTGGTGGAAAAACTGAAGAAGAAAGCAGTGCATTTTGCCAGGAAAATGTCGTAATGCCAGAGTAAGTATAAAAGATTGTAAGATAGCCAAAAAAAAAAAAAAAAGTATATTTACCAGGAAGGATACTAGGTAATTTCTAGCTTCAGCTATTTTGAATTAGAAATTAGCCACACAATTAAATGAAAAACCATGAGTAATAAGAACTCAGGCAAACAAGTACTATCCTCTAGCGGTGAATACCTTCCTTAGTACCAGTAACAGCTGTTACAATAATAACATCTTACTACATTTCTGCCATGGGCTATTGCGTTAAACTATGCATTTTACATATAGTATTTCATTTAATTTTCATATACATATTGCAAATTTGGTATTATTATCTCCCTTTTACAAGCTGGGAGACTGGAAGAAAGAAATGAAAAAGATTACATAGCTATTTGTGGCATAATAGTGATTCAAAGGAAAGATCTGCTTAGGTCAAAGCTCAAGCTTTCTATATGACTAAATAGGACCCAGCTAACTCTCTGTGTCTTTCAAGGTTGAACTGATTCAGCTCTTACTTCCAAGAGTTTGTAATGTATGAGTACAGTTGAGCAAAAATGAAACAAAACCAAAAGCTGTAACACAAAGGCAGAATGTGATATATATCATAAAGGAGGGGGAAAAGGAGAGAGAGAGAGAGAGAGAGAGAGAGAGAGAGAGAGAGAGAGAGAGAG